CCCTGTGTCCCCATATCCCTCCCTGTGTCCCCCTGTCCCACTCTCTCCCTGCTGTGTCCCCATGTCCCTCTGTCCCCATCAGTGTCTCCACATCCCTCTATCCCACCCCCCCAGTGTCCCTGCAGTGTCCCCAGTGCAGGCAGGACCCATTGGTCACATCCTCTGTGTGTCCCCCCCCCATTTCCAGGGGCACCTTCCTGGTGTACAAGGACGGGGACGTGTCCCACCCCACGGTGCGCGAGCGCCAGTGGCTCAACAGCGACTTCAACTTCGACAACGTCCTGGCTGGGATGATGGCCCTGTTCACTGTGTCCACCTTCGAGGGGTGGCCCGCGTGAGTGGGGACAGGGGACATGGGGACATGGGCCCGTGTGAGTGGGGACGGGGCAGGGGACATGGGGACATGGGGATACAGCCCCGTGTGAGTGGGGACAGGGCAGGGGACACGGGGACATGGGGATACAGCCCCGTGTGAGTGGGGACAGGGGACATGGGGACATGGGCCCGTGTGAGTGGGGACAGGGCAGGGGACATGGGGACATGGGGATACAGCCCCACGTGAGTGGGGACATGGGGACATGGGGACACGGGCCCTGTGTGAGTGGGGACAGGGCAGGGGACACGGGGACATGGGGATACAGCCCCGTGTGAGTGGGGACAGGGGACATGGGGACACAGCCCCGTGTGAGTGGGGACAGGGGACATGGGGACACAGCCCCGTGTGAGTGGGGACAGGGGACATGGGGACACAGCCCCGTGTGAGTGGGGACAGGGGACATGGGGACACAGCCCCGTGTGAGTGGGGACAGGGGACATGGGGACACAGCCCCGTGTGAGTGGGGACAGGGGACATGGGGACACAGCCCCGTGTGAGTGGGGACAGGGGACATGGGGACACAGCCCCGTGTGAGTGGGGACAGGGGACATGGGGACACAGCCCCGTGTGAGTGGGGACAGGGGACATGGGGACACAGCCCCGTGTGAGTGGGGACAGGGGACATGGGGACACAGCCCCGTGTGAGTGGGGACAGGGGACATGGGGACACAGCCCCGTGTGAGTGGGGACAGGGGACATGGGGACACAGCCCCGTGTGAGTGGGGACAGGGGACATGGGGACACAGCCCCGTGTGAGTGGGGACAGGGGACATGGGGACACAGCCCCGTGTGAGTGGGGACAGGGGACATGGGGACACAGCCCCGTGTGAGTGGGGACAGGGGACATGGGGACACAGCCCCGTGTGAGTGGGGACAGGGGACATGGGGACACAGCCCCGTGTGAGTGGGGACAGGGGACATGGGGACACAGCCCCGTGTGAGTGGGGACAGGGGACATGGGGACACAGCCCCGTGTGAGTGGGGACAGGGGACATGGGGACACAGCCCCGTGTGAGTGGGGACAGGGGACATGGGGACACAGCCCCGTGTGAGTGGGGACAGGGGACATGGGGACACAGCCCCGTGTGAGTGGGGACAGGGGACATGGGGACACAGCCCCGTGTGAGTGGGGACAGGGGACATGGGGACACAGCCCCGTGTGAGTGGGGACAGGGGACATGGGGACACAGCCCCGTGTGAGTGGGGACAGGGGACATGGGGACACAGCCCCGTGTGAGTGGGGACAGGGGACATGGGGACACAGCCCCGTGTGAGTGGGGACAGGGGACATGGGGACACAGCCCCGTGTGAGTGGGGACAGGGGACATGGGGACACAGCCCCGTGTGAGTGGGGACAGGGGACATGGGGACACAGCCCCGTGTGAGTGGGGACAGGGGACATGGGGACACAGCCCCGTGTGAGTGGGGACAGGGGACATGGGGACACAGCCCCGTGTGAGTGGGGACAGGGGACATGGGGACACAGCCCCGTGTGAGTGGGGACAGGGGACATGGGGACACAGCCCCGTGTGAGTGGGGACAGGGGACATGGGGACACAGCCCCGTGTGAGTGGGGACAGGGGACATGGGGACACAGCCCCGTGTGAGTGGGGACAGGGGACATGGGGACACAGCCCCGTGTGAGTGGGGACAGGGGACATGGGGACACAGCCCCGTGTGAGTGGGGACAGGGGACATGGGGACACGGGCCCCGTGTGAGTGGGGACACGGGGACACCAGCCTCTCCTCGTGTCCCCAGGCTGCTCTACAAGGCCATTGATGCCAACGCCGAGGACCAGGGCCCCATCTACAACTACCGGGTGGAAATCTCCATCTTCTTCATCGTCTACATCATCGTCATCGCCTTCTTCATGATGAACATCTTCGTGGGCTTCGTCATCATCACCTTCCGCGCGCAGGGCGAGAACGAGTATCGCAACTGCGAGCTGGACAAGAACCAGGTGGGGACACCCTGGTCACCTCCCCCCCACCAGGTCACCCCCTCCGTGTGGGCACCCCCCAGCGTGTGTCACCCCGCGTGTGTCACCCCACGTGTCACCCCGACACGTGTCACCCCACACGTGTCACCCCACGCGTGTCACCCCACGCGTGTGTCACCCCGCATGTGTCACCCCACGTGTGTCACCCCACGTGTCACCCCGACACGTGTCACACC